TTTCTTATTTTATTCCTCATTACCTTTCTCTCTGCAGATTGACCTGGAACCAGAGGGGAAGGTGTATGTTGTTATTGACCTATCAGGATCTTCCAGTGAAGGTAAGAACTCAGTGACACTGTTTTATGAAGCTCAGCGGGGTCTGCCATGTATGTAACACAGAGCTCTCGGTCTCACTTATCTCTTGTTAAAAGCTGCTGTGTAACTGTCGCAGGAGCTTTCAGTGTAAAGTGATGATGAAGATGTTGTATTACGAGGCAAAAGCCTGTGTTTGTCAAGTCACTCTGACTCTCACAGCTGATGCTACATTCACACCTTCTCCTCATTGTATTGCAGAAAACCAGTGTTGCCACATTCAGATGTATTAAAACATCTTGCATGTGTGCAAAGTCCTTATACATATTTGCAGCATGTTTTATAACCTTTAATAAATTATATCAAAAAATTCAAATAAGCTCATATAACAAATATTGACAATAAATAGGATATTAATAACACTATCTTTAAGATGGGACAGAGTAATAGGATACGCAAATATGCAATGACAGTTCAATAATTTGTTATTTTGCATTTTGTAATAACAACGCTAGTAGTGATGTATTTGAGTTAAATATGTAAGTACAGTTCAAAGGTATGTCAGAGCTAAAATAAAAGCATAGACTACACCATTAATCTCTTATCATGCAGTTAGAAACAGTTAAAAAGTTAAAGTTTCTAACTGCAGTAGCTCAAGTATACCACTTTGGCCCTCCTTGTTGTGTTGTTAAGGTACATCCTTTGGCCTTTTTGGTTGTATTGCACAGAGACAAATACATGTTATGTGGTTTTAAAATAAAATACTGGAATTGTACATGCAGTGAATATAGTTAAAAACAACCTAACAATATTATTTTAAGTGCTAGCAAAGACACAGTCAGAAGAAGGGAATAAGTGCATGTAAAGTGTAGAAGACAGCTTTGGCTTTGTCACTTAAAGAGATGCCCTAAGTATGCACAACTCAAAGCCTTCCTCAAATTTAAACTGTCATAAAAAAAAGAAATTACAGTCCATATAGTTTTTCTGATAGAGGTAAAAAAGGTAAAATAGTGATGTGTAAAGTCTCCCAGAAACACAGAATGATGGCAAAATTGTAAAAACATGAGCAAAAAGCTGCTATTTTCAATTTCATTTATAAAAATGGTCGTTAAACAAAAAAAGTTTGAACCTCTTGATTTGCAAAAGTCCACCAGATTAAGGAAAAAAATATCTAATATAAAAAAACCAGAACAGTCTCCACAGCCTTTGTTAAATGACTGCACTCATACTGATCGTCATTATAGTTTCACATCCTTTCTCTAATAATCTTAATGTGCAGTTTTTGAGCTTTTAGTGGGTGTTAAGTGAAAGGAAAGTGAAAGCAATAATGTAAGTGCTCCATTTGTGTTAAGAGAAAGTAGGTTTTTGCTCTATAATGCAGCATACACTTTAGAAATGACAATAATTTGGAATTAGGAATAGAGGAACAAAGAGAATGTTAAAAACAATGTTGGTGTTAGATGAACCAACAGATATGTGTGTTTAGTTCTAAGTTACTTCTCTTTTTTGTTTTTGTTACTCGGTGAGAACGTGAAGTCAGGAGTGAGTCACCCTGTCACTGCACGGAATTCGCAGCATTACATTAGGAAATAGATGTGTCAGATTCCCTACGTGTTTCTATGACGATGATATCTTCTTCGGTATAAGTTAAATGATGCAATCAGAGTTTGACTGTAAACTCAGAGATCACCTCATCATTTAAGATGTGAGACACAGTGCTTCGAGAGAGCCTCGAGCTGTAATCTTGTACTCCTACGTGTCGCTGTATGTTTCGCTGCAAAAACAGAGATGTAACAGTGTGGTTGAGAAGGAGTGCAGATACTGATGTGATATACAGAACTAGTACTTACACTTGCAACGAGACTATAATCGTTGATGCTTTGACTAAATGCTGAGGCCCCATAGACTGCATGTAAAAGATGGACACAAGGTTCGAGATATATAAAAATGAAGAACTGATATGTCAAATATTCGCACATGATGAAATAATCAGCCCAGCCCAGTTAGGGCAACAGAATCACTTTCCAATTTATCGTGGTTCTCTTCCCTTTCAGTAACCATTACTCTGCAACCACACTATGCCTGACTAAAGTAAGCTGACAACCACTAACCGGTTCACTTTTCTGTTGCTGCAGCAACTTCTCACTTGTGGAGCGAGGTACTTCCCGCAGCAAACCTGCTTCCTTAGTCATAGACAAAAGTATAGTTAGGCTGTTGTTACAGTGTTGAGTCAAGCATTGGAATGAATGAAGTATAATGAATTAATACTTAGTTTAATTATTGATTTATTGTCTTCTCTTGCAGTGGTTTTTCTTCTCCATTTTGAGCAGTGTAAGCTAACCATAGCACTGCAGCTGTGTGGCTCTACACTGAGCTTTGACTTCAGTTTGTGCACGGCCTGACTGAGTCACTGCAGTATAAAAACTGAGCATTGCATATCTGATGTTTGCTTCAGCTAAGTAAATAAAATGAAGCTGAGGATGATTTTGACCGATAGCATCCATTTTTCAGATTTTCAATCAATTTTGCAATATTATTGTTTTTGTGAATTATATTTGCTATCATGCAGTGAAAATCTGAAATTATTACACCACCAGATGGATGTAGCCATGGTGACATCCTTTACAGCTTTGTGCATTCATTTGTTTCGAAATGCCAGCTGTGCCAGTTTGGGTGATTTGTAGCAATGCCTGGATATCTTGATGCATTCTCAATCATCCAGGAAAGTAAATCTCCAAAAGTTGATTCTGTTCATCTGGACGTAGCGTTTTGTGGGAGAAACGCTTCGTCACTCATCCAAGTGACTTCTTCAGTCTCGGACTTCAGACTGAAGAAGTCACAGACCCCAGAGACTGCTAGTGAACTTCTACCGTTCCACCATCGAGACCCTTCTGACTTACTGCTGCACACTCAGGTTCAACTGCTGCACTGTGGAGAACACGAGGAAAGTGCAGCGGGTGGTGAGGGCAGCAGAGCGGGCAATCGGCACCACTTTGTTACGTCCCCACATAAAAGCTAGGCGAAGAGGGTGGGAGACAGTAACAGTTGGATCCGGGTTGAAATGAAAAGAACGCCAGGCAGAGGTATTTAACACAAAATAAGTCTTTATTATAATCAATTAACTCAATAATCATATAAATAGTAACAACAAAAAGAGACAGCACCGCTGCTTTAATGATAAATCGGACAGGTCAACCCAAAGAGATAGTGACCACTTCAACAAAGAAAACTACTATAAGGCTTCAACAGAAAAAGACAGCAACGCTGCTATTAACAATAACCAGGCAGGCCAAACAAAATAATGGAGGCCGCCGTCACTTAAGGGAAACCACCGCTCAGTTAAGAACTACTCACAAAGAGCCACGCACGGTGGGGCTGGTCACACACAGCAGAGACATTTATACTGGCCGACTTCAGCAGAAAGTCAATATCATATCCGTATGTTTGCATGTGTATGTATAACTTGTACATATCTTTCTTGTGTAAATGTAAATTTGTCTGTGTTATTTTGCAAATACTTACGCTATTGTGTATTTCACACACATGGAGAGATGCCAAACTGCCTTTCATTGTTCTTGCAACAGTGACGATAAAGAGCTATTCTATTCTATTCTATTCTATTCTGTTCTATTCTATTGTTGTGGAGATGTAACTACTAAGTGATATGCGCATGTTTAGCAAAATACAGTGATATTGCAAATCATCTTTTTGTAGAAACTTTTATTTTGAAATTTCTCTTCATACTTGTGGAGCTTTTCAATCGGGCCTCCTATTAACAGAATGTTGAACTAGAGGTGAAAAGTTAACATTGGTACATCTAATCTGTACCTAATTGCATTTTTACGGTATGTTGGAGAGACATGAGAGACTGTGAGAGAGAAGGCAGAAGGGGAGTTATTCAGAGGTCGCGAGAGGAGAAGGGGAGTGGTTGTGGGGTGATAAATTGATTAGTAAAGTGGAGTGTTCGCTAATGGACCAGTTACATCATTGAAAGTGATTGAGAGGGAGATCAGTGGAGAGTGACAAAGAGGTCTCATTAGGTTTTTCTGCAGGAAATATTAATTTTCCTTTTCCCTGTTTTTCGTAAATGGACTCTAAAGCTATATTGCCTGCTGGGACTCTGCTCCTTGTTGTTTCTTTGCAGTGGCATACCGTATGTTTCTGTGCCTGTGTGTTTGTGATCTACTGCAATTG